TTTTACTGAATGTAGGAGTGTATGTCTGTAAGAAAACTGATCTTTCCCACCGGTCGTCCGGGTAAGTAAAAAATGCCTGATCTCAGTAAGTCTGATCTCTTATCCAGGTCAAACTGGATGCTACAATCGGCTTATCCGGGATTTGGAGAAGGGTACTTTTTTGTGCCTTTTCCTTGATATAGTTATCGGATTTTCAGTACCACTTTGGAAAAAATTTATCTACGATTTATTGATTTGTTTGATGAGTTGTTGCTGTTTCACAGCATCCCGGATTGTACCGACCACATTCAGTGTGTGCTCTCAAGAAATCTAAGAAAGAGGAATCGAAAATGTTGCCAATGTGTTTGTGATTGCTGATGAGAAAATCAAGCCTGCGTGAAAAAGCTTTTTTGAATGCCTCCGCCTCTTAGAAAGAGCGAAATACGGAGCGCATTTTGACATTGGTTTCCTCACAGTTTTGTGCTGTCGAGAAGTTCAGCTAGTTTCGGCTCCTCTTTGGCTTTCGTTGTTCATGCAACGCGGGTCTCATGATTCTGGGCCGATTTTCTCATTTACCTACAACGGTATTTTGGTGCCCAGGACGCGAAAGCAGGCGGCTGTTTTTTCGTAAAAGTATCGTTTGTTCAATTCTATCGGTTCCCTAGATGAGCAGGACAAGCGAGAGATGTATTTTCTCGTCCAAGATGGAAAGATGATTTTTCCAGCCTTGGATATCTGAGAAAGTGATGAGCTTTTTGTCTTATCTTAAAAAGCCGCCTGAGCGGCTCTTCGCTGTTCAGGCGTTTTGCCTTCTGGATGAAAAACCCGAGGGATAGTAACATCATAGTATCGTCTGGGTAATATCTGGGTGATTTGCGAGAGCCTACAGCACAACATTATGTTGCGCTGAAGTAAAGGCTTCTTGAACCGTACATTATTTTCGCTGCAGCGAAATTCAACGGTATAGCGCAACTGCTGGCGAATGCAGCACCATTGCGTAGTCTTACATAAACCACACAGCGTTGAAACAGAATGCAGGGAGGGACAGAAGGATTCGCAGCTTTTCTTGCAGAAGGGTTCTTAGTTGGACTCTTCTTGCAGGTCGAAGACGACGAGGGCTCAGAAGTTGTTTTTGAACTTGTTGATACCTATGATGCCGACTCGGACATTTACTACCGAAAACTCCGAAAATGCAGAGCTCGTGCCAAAAAGTATTCGCGAAGCCCGAGATATCGGTTGAGTCTAGAGACTCTTGCTCTTCTGCGACGGCGACGAGCTATGATTGCCTTCCACGACACTGGTGTCAAATATAAGCTCCTGTGCAAGGAAATCAGAAAGAAGATGAAGGAGGATTACGATAAATTTCGGACGAAGAGATTAGCACAAAAGAGAAGCATTGATAAAGCATGGGATGAGGTGCATTGTTGCTTTCGAACACTTCACGTGGCAATGGTGTAGCATGTTTGGCTAGGGAAGGCAACTGGAGAAAATTGCTGGCCGTAAAATATTGAATTGTTTGTTTTTGAAGGTTGCCGAGCTGCGTCAAGAGCTGATGGCACGTGATTTGGAAGCAAAAGGCGTGAAATCGGTTTTGTGCAGTCGGCTCCAGGAAGCACTTGATAAGGAAAAAGCACAGGAGGAGGGCAAAGAAATGGAGGTACGTGTGTATTTCCAGACCGCGGCATTATAGCGCTAAATTTTTTTATGTGGACTATGGTAGGCTACTCAGGCGGATGCATGTTACTGAAATCCACCTTATCCCATGCTACGTTCAGGAACAGTGTACTGGCGAAGGGGATCATGGTGGAAAGAGGGAGGAGGGTGGGGGGGGGGGGGGGGGGGGGGGGGGGGGGGGGGGGGGGGGGGGGGGGGGGGGGGGGGGGGG